ACACACCCATCCATCACATCCCCATCTGCAATTACATAAGAATAACTGATGAGCAGGCTTAGGGGGAAATCAGAGTAGATTCCCACCCAGGCTGTAGGGATTGTTCACTGTGTCTCCAGAGGGCCACTGGCTACCGCTGTGATTATTTGCGCAAACAAGCTGAGCATTGATGGGAGAGGCAGCACTTTGGGTGTCTTGAATCTCGGCCCAATGGAGACAATGTTGGACTGAATAATTTCCAAGGGGGCACATACCATCAACAGCTGAGCTAATGTTGGCATTTGAGGCTATTGTTGTTGGTTCACATAGGCAGGGCCAAGGAGGTCACGTAATCAGAAGCTGTATTGTTGCCCTCGCTTCCCTTTAAAATGCTAAACTGATTGAACACTACAGCTCCTCTCTGATGGCCTCCTAAGACGCTACAATACATATGTTATATATTGATATAAACAGTAGATTAAATATATCAAGGGATACATACAGAGAATAAGTCCAATATGGAAAATCTGCAGGTTAACTGAAAAAAAACTTAATACAAACAAAATACTGCAGCAGAATCTAAAAAAGGGTTAACTCTAGCACACACCAGTTTCCTAAAGCAATTGTGCTACAGGCCTCGACTCTTAAAACTCACAACTGACTATAAAACCTGTGAGATGCATGATTGCAGGAGAGACAGATTTGATTTTTTTTCCAGATAATTTAAATCTTTACCAGACAAGTTAAATATAACTTTTCTTGTTTGGAATTTATAAATGTGCTTTGACCATATAAGCAGCAGTGGACCTCAGGACCAGACATGTGCTGATATGGATCATTAAGTGAGAAGAATGATGTATTTTTCCGACTCTTGTCTCCATCGTGCTGGGTAATTGCAGCCTGGTTTCCACGTTGGAGAAGGGATAAGGGCGCGTAAGGCCTTAGTCATTATACTGCCACCACTTTCCCCTGTAACACAACTTCTGATGTCTCCTGCATCTTTTGATCCCTGGAGCTGACTATGGTTGTGACATGAAAATGTGGCTAATGAGTGGCAACTGTGACTCCTGGGTTTGTGCGCTATAAATGTGCCTGCTGGTCTGCCATGTCACGAACTGCAATTAAGTAAACACTCAAAGAAACAGACATAACTGTAAGGAAAGAAGTACTTAAACATGCCTTATATTTAGCAGCCAATATAAAAAGCGACAGACAAAAACGATGGTTAGGCCCAAACTGATGACATTAAGGATGTTCAATGAGAATGAAAAATGCCAGGACAATTTTAATGCTTCTCTCACTGCTGTACGTGTTGTTTCAGCAAGTGTCATATGTCAGCAAACAGTTTTATTTCACTCTAAGCTTCACTTGGACGTCCATCTCAAACAGTGAGCCCAGAAACCCCTTCACAGAATAAAATTTTACTACTTGTATCTGCAATCGAATTGTTTCAACTGCTAACCAGAGGTCATGACAATAAATTTGAGAACAAACATGGATAGGTATCTAACAATCGGACATCGGCAGGTGTCATACTCTGCTGCAAACCACCCAAGGACCTGAGCAGATGTCCTGGTGTACTTCAACAGCAGCCAAACATAAAATATGCTTGTCGTGGACAGTTCAACAACTTCCATCTGCAGAACTGCACAGGGCCCTTTTCAGGACTACCACTGTAAAAAGAAGGCAGTATACGGCACCTTCTCTTCTTTGACAGACAGATGCTGTAGTTCACAGCCACGGGTGAATGATTATCCCCAGCAAAGGAAACTGCAAAGATCAAGGACTTTGTTGTAAGGCATTGACCATGAATCACAAAGTTTCTGCATTTGAATCCAACTAGGAACCATAGCTAAATATCTTTTCCCTTTCATTTTCTCTCCGTCTAAACCCCCCAACATAATAAAGTCATGAAAACCCTCCAAGTACGTCTTTCTCCTGCCGTTCAACTGGCATCACACCAGACCCCTACACTGACATGGTACAGGCCAAGGCTGATTCGGCACAGTTAGTCCCTTCCAAAAAAGATATAGATCACTGAGTTACATATAGCGTGCCCCATCATCTCTGACCAGTTTAGTGTGGGAGACACAAGGTTCTCCATCATGATGAAATAGCATTACTTAAAGTCATTCAGCATGTGCCTGAATACAGTCTAAACCAGTTGCAATTCAAGATGTGCAGCTGGGACGTGGGGGTTTAGATTGATGGTCACTTGTCACTGGGACCTTTTGGTTCTTTTTTTAAAAACTTGCTAACCAATGACTTGCTCATATTGGAAGGTGATTTGGTGAGTCCAGGTCAAACAGGACAAAGCAGTTACACAATGTTGTATGACCACAAAGAGATAAGTTGCTCTAACAACTGATTCATCTCAATAACTCGCGGCTGATGATAAAAGAAGAACACAGACGACCAGCAGGCTTTGTTGCTTCGAACTGTCAACGTGAGACAAGACAGACAAACGGGAACAAGTGAATCACTTCCTGAAAACATCTTAAAGGGGATCAGTCTCCGAGGTGACAATGGTTACAACATTGCTGGTCTACTCGTGTTTAAGTGTAGCAGTGACGTTTGTTTATTCTAAACGAACACTGAGTGTAATCCACCAAAGGCATCTGGGGCATTCTGCCTTGATCCGTCCGAGAGGGTGATTTACAGTAAAGTTTTCTGGCACAACTTCTACTTCCAAGGTGCACGTAGAGGGGAAAGAGTCTGAAGAGGTCAAACTCCACTTGCATTATGATGAACAGAAACAATGATTTCTGCTTGAAGGCCTGATGAAAGTAAGACCCAACACTTTAAACTTCCAGGGTTACAGGGGGTTTCATCCCTAAATGACAAATTCAAGCTTGCTCTACAAGTCACCTGCCCTTAGTGTGTCATTAAACCTGTGCATCCTGATAAGGCTCCATTATGGTTGACCAAGAAGAACTTGTAGTATAACAAAATAATTGTCAGGTTTTATAATGGCTTGATGAGCTCAACACTGAAAAGCTCATAGAACAGTGGAGTTTTCCTAGATGTCACATAACAGTATGAAAAACAGATGGCCTCATTTAGAAGCACTTCTCACAGCTTGGAACAGCGAGATAAGTGAAATATCAGCTGATCAAAATGCAAAATATGCCTGCAAAATTGTAGACATGGTTTCAGTTGAAAAGTGTTTGATTTGGGAAAATGTTTTCCATCCATTTTCAAGGTTCTGCTGTATAATTTATTCTCAGTGTGCTTTATGTCAAACGGTCTGAAAATGGATGACATCAGGCTCTGGAAACATGATTTTGTGCTTCAGTACCTGCCTCTCCTGATGAAGAGTTCTGCCGACATGTGCCTGTTTCTGGATTAGGCTGCCACAGCAGAGCTGTGTTCTGAAAGTGGCCTCATAAAAACCAGCTCTGCACGCAGCACAATTGAGCCCTGCCCACAAAATCAAGACTAATTAAGTGCAAACTAACTAAAGACATTTCAAAGGGCAATTTAGTTAAATGGGAGGCATTATTTCCAATGGCTGTGTCTAAAAACAGCTGAGCAGTACTTTTAAGAGCAAACAGTAACACACACACAGCTTTTGTGTGGTCACATCAAGTTACTTTATTGAGATAGACAATTAAGAAAACTGCTCAAATTAAATGGGTGGTAATTAAACCCAGGGAACACTGTGACAAAACAGGGAGCAGATTTGAAGGCACCAGAAGTTACTACCTGGCACTTTCATCCACTTCATTCCAACAGTTTCGAAACAATGATTTAGTCTGCTTCAAATGATGTCACATAAAAAGGTCATTGGGTGTTGAACCCTTAACTCCAGTTTCAGCAAGTGGTCAATATTACCACAACGGTCACTGAAGGATGAAGTACACAACAACAATAGTGTGGATGACGAGAGTAACGGAGCCCAGTTGTGGCCTGGCTGGAAGACACTGCACACTGTTGCTTTTTATTTCAGGGAATAATATAACATTGTGAAGAAATAAAAGCTTTTTCACTTCTTGCACATCGCTGAGAAAATACCTTTGAGCAGAGCCAGACCAACCGCCTCCTGGCTGCACCTTCATATTCTCCGAAATATGAAATTAACATTCTAATCTTTACAAAAACAGATTTAGCATATTTCCCAGAGTGAATGGTGCGAGCAAAAATATAAGCTTTTAACCAGACTATGTTTATTCAGCAAACTGTTAGAACACCAAGCTCTTTATTATATGAGCATAGACCATAATGTATAGCAACATGACTTCAAACATTAAAATGAACTATACTCACAGGGGTAGTAAATGAGTTAGGGTCTCTGCGTCCTCCCGCTCTGAGGGGATGCACAGTCAGATGTGAGATCATGGCCCCTGACGGCAGAGGGGTGGAAAATGCGTCATCGCAGTCATCACAGTGCAGACATCAAAGCCGGCCTGTCCGTAGGGGTTAACATCCAAAAGAGGTTAGCAGAGGTTATAAAAACACATCTATAAACGCAGGCCCCACCAACGGGCCTTACTGTCAGTTAGTACTGGCACCTTGTTGTCGTAATGAACCAACGTCAAGTCAGAAGACGACACACAGAGGCACCACGTGCGTAAGAACATTCACACAGGGAGAAACGCCAGAGGTGTCAGAAAAACAAACGCGTCAACGTCAGCTTTCATTAGCTGATGGAAAAATTAGACTAATGCTCTCACTGAAGCTCGATGGAGAGGAGACATTTGCTGAGACTCAGAGGTGATTGTGAAACAGCGTGCGGCTGGTTTCCCTTAAATTAAAACAGTCAACAAAAGGACACGTTACCTCATTTGTGTTACATTCAAAGACATAGTTTAGAGTGTAATGTGCAGAGTCCTTTTTAAATTGTTCACAGTCTAGTGACAGACAAAACAATCTCAACTCAAGGCTTAGAGGCCTCGACAAACAAGGGAACGTTTTGACCAATTGTTGGTTTGTGAAGTTCACACACACAAAACAACAACTTGACTTGTGTGATGAAGATGGTCAACATCTGTTTGAGGTAAAGAACAAGCTTCGCAAAGATATTCCCAAAAAAAAAAGTCTTTATTTAAGAAATGATGTTTCCAGACAAGGTTAAACCTGACTTATAAACAGCAACATAGAAATGATTCTCTTTATACACAACAATACACTTGGTGAAAATACTGAAACCACAGATGATTGACTTTCTGTCAGATACGTCTGTGTCCGCAATCATTTCATCGTGAACATCTGGGTATTAGAATTCCAGTCCACAGCTGTCGGGAGCTTTAACTGGGTATGAGCAGGCCCTGACTATTTCACTGTCTCCTCCGTGTTCTTGCTGCCCTCAGCGCTTCCTGTCTGTGGCCGTTGAAATATCATCAGTGGAACCAGTAATAGCCTCATTTAAGCACTGATCCCTGCTGCTATCACTGTATTTATCCACAAGCTCATCTGTAATAACCTGCATGTCACCAGTGGAGCTTTTGGCATCACCAACGCTATTATCACGCAAGTTGTTTTCTTCAGCATGATCTTCCACCTCTTCCTCGTCTTCGCTAGCGTCTGTAATCTCCCCCTCTTCTACCTCCTGCTCCCTTGATTCTCTCTTTGCCCTTTTCTCCTGTGGAGGTTCAGTTTCAGGGCTGGTCTCTCGGGCTCCCACACAGCCGTGGGTTCCTTGTGTTGTGCGAGACCCGAGCGGGGATGGTGAAACTGTGGTCACATCCTCCTTCTTGTGATCCACCTCTTCCCTCTTTGTTTCAAAACTACTCCGGGCTGACGCAGGCTCAGCTGAAACAATATGAACCCATTTTATGCATGATTAAACAAGACTATTGCAACAGTATACGTCTGACATGTTTAAACTAATACACAAGTGATCGAGTGATCGTGAAAATGCTGAGGTGCAGTCGGGCGGGGGGTCATGCTTGAGCAGAAACGGTGAGAAAGCGAGGATCAGTGCAGTAAGTTTGGGAGTTATGACGCCATGTTTTGGCTTCCAGGATGAGGCAGCGTGCCAAGCAATTAGTTATGTAATAAAGTTGGGTGGACATGTGTGAAAGAAAGAGTGCAGAATAAATGACAATAAACAGTAATTGTGAATTATCGTCAATTACTTCCCCAAAAAGATGTCCCCACAGTCTGGTGAATCATAAAATGCATGAAATGATGTGCGTTAAAATTTACTTTGAACCTGAGAGACGTTGGCCAACACATTTCAGCCTGTGTCTAACTGAGGCAATGTTATGAAAGATTAATGCAATTCAACTTTTAATATATGTGCTGTAACATGAGAGAATTAAAAGGATGGCTGTTACTTACATAATGTAAAGGGCCCACGTTACGTTGACCATATAAATTTGAGGTTCGTTCACACACAGTTTGAGTTACGGATTCTGCGTTCTCAACAGGCCGTAAATAAAAACGCACCTGCTTTAGTCAGAGAGAAATATTATTGGTGTGAACATTTGACAGCATGAGAATCAATTACAATCTGAGATTTAGTTGTGTAAAAACATTCTTCTGTCACAATATTAACAATGAGCACCATGTTTTGATTTTCTATTTCTTTTTGAAAAGCAGTAAAAATCCTATTTAATAGAAAAACCGCGTGAAGCAATTTGTTTCGCTCAGCCACTTCTTGCTCCGGCGACGGAGCCATCTGTATTCAGACCGGCTAAAAACAACATAGTTTGGTCTCCGCTAACAAAAATTACATGTTTATCTGCATATGGAGTAGAAAAGTGAAATCCTATCACAAGACAAATGTGGGGATGTATTCTAATGCCAGATGTGAACTGAATAACTCACAGCTGTCCACTTGTGATCAGGTCACTTGAGATGTATGTTAATACCAAGTGTGAACAGGGCCTCTCAGTGAGATGTCTCAATTTGGGATACTCCTTATTGGTCACGCCAGTCGTCACACTTGTTGTTTCAACATGTGTTTCCTTGTTTCAGAAGCTGACACATTTTCATCTGAATAACAAGGTCAACAGACTCCAGTTTGTTGGAGTAGATTTGACCCTTTCTATAAAATAAATGCTGTGAAAGAAGCCTCAGAGTGATCATTTCTGTTAATGAGGATAACCTTCTAACTAAAACCCACTAAGGGCAGCTACATTTGAAAGTGTGTACATTAAAAGATCATTCAACAATCTGACCCAAACTACAGCAGGGTACAGATGTTAACACAAAGCTGCTGGAGTCAACGGTGTCCAGCTTCATGTAGTTCAGACCAGAACGCTGACCGACTGCATGCTTCCTGTACGGAGCATGTAAGAACATCAACATGACTTTATCCTCACTGAAAGTGCTGCAGCCGCAGTGTGACTGCTTGTTATCACTTCCTGCCCGGCTTCCCAGGCTTTGGCATGTGCAACTATCAGGATGTTTCTATGGTTAACATTGTAGCAAAACAGTGCTGCACCAAGGCCTTATCACTGAAAACACACATACACTCAGACTAAAATTACCTTATTCGTCATGTAGCCCGTCTGGGCCTGACAGAGTAATGATACTGGGTTACTGTGGTCTATTCCGACCACACTAACCCGACTCAGAGAGACACTGTTTTGCCACACTGTGCAGATCTGAGTAGACAGAAATTGCTGAAATCTTCTTCATGATATAAACACTGGAAGAGACTGACAAACAGGTGAGGCAAAAGAAGGCTGACCTCCTGTTTTCTCCTTCCTCTGTCATCTGTCACAACTCATGAGGTCACTGTTCAACAGTAAGCCATGTTTAATCCTCCTTTTGGCCATGGTCACCGCTGAGGTTAACATGGTGTGCATGATGCTGTGCAGAGCACACTCATTTCCGTTGGGGTAGCGTGTTACCATAGTGAAAAATACGGGAACAAGGAGTCTTAAAGTCTCAGCTGGAAAACCCAGGACATGATACAATTCTGCTGGAATCGTGGGAGTGGAGATGGGTTGGTTTGGGGCTACGTAGAATTTTGACTCATGTCGTACATCCACACTTTTGTTTTGTGACAGAAAGATGGTATTAATATAGTGATGATAAATTATATTATGTAAGTAAAGAAAGAGCGGGTTAGTGGGGATGCAGGAAATGTGTATATTCTTTTGTATATTTATGATTAGATAATTGTTTTACCTGGTCCTTTTAGAGGATACTCCTTCCAATGTTCTCTGAGTACAACATGCAGCACAGGATATTCAATCAGTGTTTTGTAACTCAGGTTGTCCCTCAGGCTCTTCTGAATGTCCAACTCGTGGTACCTATTCCGGATAAAATTGAGGCACACACACAAGACAAAGAGGAGATTACAAGACAACGCAATTACATGATGCTGAAGGTAAATTATGTGACATTAGACCCCTTTGAGGTAATTTCAAGTTTTTAGGTGCTAGGCAGCAGCAAAGACAGAGCAAAACATGGCCCAAACTCTTTCTCCAGCAGCGGCAGCTTTTCATTTCCAGCTGCCTATGGCGTGTTGATTGGGTGAACATCTTTTGAGGATTCATACTGATTTGAGTCACTGCTTGGCAAAGTGAAGACCCTGGTTGTTGTTCGTCTCAAAAGATGAAAATTGGCTTTACAGAGATTCAGAAGCGTCACTCTCAAGTAAATGAAGCCGCTGTCTCAGCTCATCCTTTAGCTCTTTGTGTGAGATGACATCAGTCTAGTCTTGTCTCTAAATAGCCCTGGCATGCATTAGCAATGGTCATAAATCACTGCATAGTTAACGAGATGTTTTTGGGAGACATAAATTGCCTCAACTGATTCATAACCATCCAGCTCAGACTGTCATCACCAAACAGCAGGGCACCATATATTTGGGGTGTATCTATTAACTGGCACCAACCTTCCCAGATGTCAAGCCTCTGCCAGACTGACGATTACTGAGCCATTGTTTCTACTGCTAAAAGCACAGGCAGACTGAAAACCACGCGGGTGGACACACACTCCCCGAGGGAATCAAAGCCCTCTGCTATAATGTGAAAGTTACAAGTCTTTACTGGATGGACAGTTTCCAAGAGAGCCCTTCCTCCTGGGAGAGTTTGTCTTAGGTGGGCTAAAGATTGATTTCATATGATCCCACAAATAAACGGCAGGATGTGTTTTGGCACTTCCTTCTGGACAGTATAAAGGAAAGAAGTAAGAGTCTCAAGCCACAGGAAATGTCTTGCCACAGTACAATGAATGGCTGCATGGTATTTCAGACAGATCTCCACATCAGAAAAGTATAAATAGCCTCTGTGAAGCTGGACGCAAAAATATGGTGGAAGGATAATCTGTGAAACCAGCCTGTGGAGCTGATAATGCAGCAGGAAGAAGCACGATATCTAGGACTGCATCTATCTGCATCCATTTGCAATGTGGTTGTAAATGAGGTTTCTATCAAATTTGTCTTTAAGAAATGGGATGTTGATGGATGTTTTTTTATTTCTTTCTGTGAGCGTGCAAGCTAAAACAAAACACAAAGACGAAGACCGTGGCTGTACGCGGTGTCGACGGGATCATTAGAGCTCGGATCATTTCTAGAAACACGACTGGATGGCTCAGCCACGAACACGCACACATCTGGTCTCTATATAGTGTCCTGGTGAATGAATAGAACAGAGACTGGTGTTCTCTTCAGGGAGGTTTTTTTTTCGCTCCATGGCTGTGTCAGAAGATGATGGACAGTAATGAACTAGTCCCCACTTGTGGCCATTGGATCCGTGGCATTATCCCCCATATTTGACAGCTTAGCAGATCTTGGCCACTCTATGACAGCGTGCTTTTCATTCTGCCTTCAAGGGAGGCAAATTCAGAACATATATATATATATAGACTCTTTTTTGCAAATAACCTGGCCCATGATTGCGACATAACATTTGCGGCTGACTGCAATGGAGAATAAGTATAACCACAAATTTATACAGCAGATATAGTACTGAACTGTAACCGTGACACTGACGAATTAGGCAATATTAACTGCTGCTATATATGCCCTGCTATTTTAGTAACAATACCCAGTACAAGTCCACCATGGCAGGAGACCGGGGGAAGCATCTGCTGTACAGAAACAAACTTGAACATGGCTCCAGGCAAAGCTGAGGGAGAGCGGATCGACGGGCTCAGGAGGACTAAGACGAGGGCTGGCCACAAATGTGGGAGAGAGAACAAACTGCTTGTGCAGGACAGAAACTTCACAGTAGTTAAAAGAGTGGACTGAGGTTTGCTTCTCTGGCTGCTAATGTAAAACCAGCATCTCTTCTTCAGGTCAACACTGCAGTGAGGGGGGGTTAAGGGACGGCGAGATGGCATCTTCTGGATCTCTGGGGTGGAGTGAAAAAAAATAAACATAGAAAATAACACAAACAAGCATCCAGAAGGGTATGAATGCTTCTCTTCAGACACAGTCCGTCTTCTTTCCAGTAAGAGGATGTTGACCGGTCACCCGTCAATGTTTAATTTAGCACAAGAGCTCCTTTATTTGACTTGGTTGATATTCCTGTAGACCTTCGACAGGAAATAATGCAATCATAACCTTTGTGTTATACTTGGCAAATGGCAACCTAGTAGACACGACTGGTGCCATAATTAATTCTGTTAGGCTCGTTGTCAAAGCTAATAACTTGTTTTCATGTTGACATTACCCATGATCCCTGGCTTCCGGAACCACATAAGCTGCTGCTGTAACAAATACACCAAACTGTTGACAATTCTTCATATTTTAAATGTTTCCTGGCTGAAAACCGGAGATAAACACCAGATTTGAATGACTTCTAAGTCTTTTTAACTGAGCTACAGTCCTGGTATTAGTCTTTAGGGCCTGATTCTGGCCATCTAAGCTGCTACACAGGAGATCGTAGCTGCTCACCAGAGTTACATAAAGCAAGAGCAGCTGTTTTGGGTGAAGAGTGGTAATGGTGGCTCCATTCGTACCATATCAAGTCAGTGTATCATCAAACTAAGGCCCAATTTGTGGCTGCAATGCTTTGACCTGGTTTGGGACCTTCAAATTTGGATGTGACCTCAGTTTGGAGGGGTCTCTCTTCTTATGAGAGCTGCACTTTGGCAATGGCCGTATTATGAAACTCTACCAGTTCATGTAAGGTGATTCTCATTAGCACAAGCATCCTAATTTTGCCACTTTGATTCATCCACCGTCAGTACAGTGTTGACAATTAACACTCACTAATAACAGAATGGCAAACACGACAGTTCCTCATTGTGCAGATTCCAGTTTCAAGGCTACGACAGGAAACTGAGGTCAGATAGAGAAAAGCTAAAGAGCGAGATTTACACCAGTGAATTACTCACTACCACAGGCATGATAAGACACAGTCGAGACATTCTTTTATCATCTGAATTCATCATGACTGTGATTTTTCCAGGTAAGAAGCAGTTAGGAGGAACACATTAAATCTTTCTCTCATGACGGGTGACGCTGTTAAGTTAAGAGCGAGTGTTATGAATCACATCTTTCAAAATTCAAAGAAAGCGGCTCACCTGAAATGACCCGTTCCTGATACCAGCAACCTTACTTTCACTAAGTGAACACAAAACGGGTAAAGCTGCTGTAGCGTAGGGATTAAATAACAGTGCATTACACAAAGCCTGAAGTCATTGAAGACAATAAACTACTTTTGTAATCAACATATTTATGGTCCTATTTTAAAGCAACAAAATATTGAAAAATAAATGTTCTGATTGTCTACGAACAAATATGTGACAATATTTATATTTTGTTATTACCTCCAGTTGGATTATGCTTTCACCCATCCCCATTTGTTTGTCGTCACTAGGATTAAGCAGGAACTACTCAATGGATTTCCAGGAAACATTGGATAAAGGATTATTAATTTTTACTTTCCTTAACGTCACTCAACAATGTGCTGATGATGATGAGTGTGTGCGTGTTTAAGTCTTGATGTGGTTTTGTGCTCTACTGTGTGCCAACCTAGTTTTTTTAACAAACTGCGGACCTGATCTGTGAACAGAGCAAACGCCTGCATCACTTCATACTCTTTCTCTCTCTTTCTATCTGTTTATTCAGTTGATCTGCTGACAGTTTTTTAGGTTTTTCGCCGTGATGTACAGTTACAGCGTTTTCCCATTAAAGCTTTAAGGCAAATTCCAACTACTGCATGTTTGCCATTCTGAGGGGAGACCCAGACAATTTTCAGGTAGGATGACATCACTTGTGTTCACTGTATGGATGAGCTAATGTGGGTTTGCAAAAAAAAAAAAAAAAAAAAAGATTTGTGAGTTAAATTCCTATTTAATGTTATTATGAAATCCTTGGCTTCATCCTATGAGGCATCTGCTAAAATCATCAAAAACATGTGCACAGTTGTGAGCTATTACACACACACAGGCATGCATATAGCATATACCTGTGGCTACGACCGGTGAGGGAAGGGAATCTATACATCGAAAAAAGCTTCTGGCTTTCAGTCTCTTTCTTTGGCTCACGCTGATATAACATTGCAGAGGGGTACATCTGTGACTTGTTTGTGGTGTGTGAGTGCAATCAAGTCTTCATATATAATCATGGAGGAGAAACTAAGGAAAGATGGAAAAGGTTATTAATCACACATTTTAATTACACCTATATGGAGTAAGTATTCATTAAAGTGTCTACTGGACACTATGTCAGCCAAGTAGATCTTTTCTTATTGTTTTGAACGAGAGTGGTCAAAGACCTAACTGTGAATGCTTCAAACCATCCAAGAGGCCAAACGTGGTACTGAATGAGACCTTTGAACATAAAACCAATTTACATTGAGTTGTATTATTATATTATTATTATATTATTTATTTGTGATATGCAGTGTTCAATGTAATGTCATTACAGTAAAGCTGCCATTGTTAAGGTGTGTGGTATAAGTAATAATGAAAGATTTAAAAGCATTTAAACTTTCATTTAATTCATAAAAAGGTTAGAGGTGACAGTTCATACTTAATCTTGGCTCGCACTGGCCTGTCACATCTCTACTCATCTCTCAGTAATTCCTCTCTATATGCTGCCATACGGTATATCTCATCTTGATAGAAAGTGTGTGTGGCCGAGGCCACTGGGCAAATGAAGAAGGCGCATGTGTGTCCACGAGGATGAAGGATTGGAGGTTTCATGATGTTTCATTCTGGCCAGGGGGGTAATGATTATTAACACCGGGGATCATCATTCACTCCATAACTAAGTGGAAATGGAGAACAGCCAAAGCATTTGACAGTAGGCGAGGCAAATGGGTGCTACCAATACCATGTTCATGAAACCCTAATAAAACCCACGAGGGTGGGGAGAGAGGAAACACAGGACAGGGAGATGTAGATCCTATATAAAAAAATAAAAATAATAATAATAAAAAAAAGTTTGGAACAATGTTGAAAGCCCCTTCAGGCCTTGCTCCTGAAAGTCTGTGTAGCTTCACAGGGATTAAGTGAATTTCTTTATACATTGTGAAGAAACCAGTCAAGACTGGCAGGTCTGATCAAACAGTCCGAGCCAAACATGGACAAGATGCCTGAGGAATAACAAGGGTTGCAACACAAGGTTTTAAAAACATTGCATCATGCATTTGAGGACTACTCTGGAGCATATTTACTCTGTTTTCTTGAGTGAGCATATTTTTAAAAACATATTTATTGTAAAGTGTGTCGATTCCCATCCTCTGTATTAGACCCACTGCCTTAAGATGTGCAGAAACTCATGATTGATTTCTTGCTTCTCTTTACTGCTGCACTAAATAAAGGCATATATACGATAAAAAGATGGTATTTGCAAACCACGGCCATTCTGCAAAAACCCCGATCAGTCAACATTGAGTTTTTCATATTGTAATATATTCCTTATTTCAATGCACATATACCACATGATGATAAATGATTGGTAAATCTAAATAAAAACATTGTGTCTCTAATGTTATTGGCTGAAAATGCGAAAGCATTACTACATTATATGATGTCATATATACATATGATGATTCACTCCTTCAATATGATCAGAAATTATTTTTCAATCTACACAAGTCGTGTCTATAGTCCTATAGGATGCAGAGATAACTTAAAAAATGGATTTCTGAGTTATGCCCAACGTTAGTTCCTGATTTCTTGATCGTGATTTCTATATGATTGGGAATAATTGATTTCTGATTAAAATAAGCTTCAGATTGTAGGAGGAGAAGGAGATATCTTGGAAATGACAATTGGAGAGGCCTTTCTTCCTTTAACTGGATTAAACCCTGAACAGCAAGGATTCACCTTCTTCAACCCTTTTAGCTCATGATATCAGTTTTAACTCATTCAACTCAGTTCATTTCAAGTCAACCAAGAATAGTTCACATTGTTGAACATGTGAAATAACACAGGAAACAAATCTCACCTCACAGAGTTGGCCTTCCTCCCCTCTGCCTTCATGAAGACCTTCACGTCACTGGACGGGGCGTGCACGTACACCTTCAACCTGGATGAGAAATTCACATCAACACAGGACATTAGAGACTCACATCACCTGAAATAGACAAGAACATTAACTGTGCAGTTTTTCTAATGGCCACGGTAAAGGTCAAAACACAAAGAGCCCATTGAGCATAACAGAGACCTAAATGTACACTTGTCTGGCACGTTGACTGAAATGCAGTATGCATGGGCTCTGAAGTATCTTGTGTAAGGGACACTCCCGCATTGCTACTGACAGCCACAGCCCCCGAGCCCCGGAGATTTAACCTCCGCTCACGTGAGTCCAGGCTGTGTCTAAATGGCTGACTCAGGGCCGAGTCAGGTGTCTCTCCAGAGATCTAAACCCGTCTACAATATGCTTTACAGTAGTTTTACATTAGACCATTTACTGCACTGTTATCAGCACAAAGCTTAGGTCAGAAGAGTCAGATCGCTGCTCTGTGAGAGGGTCAGATTTTAAAATACTGAGCGTTTCCGAAAATCAAAGAGCCTGCCTTGTTTGAAGACTGAAGGTCATGTAGGAGAGAAACACGAGCCCGGGAAATGAAAAAGAAAATGAAGCACGAGCAAAATTAAAAAGATAAATGTGGGGAAAGAGGATCGCGGGAATCAGACGGAACACGAGGAGGAACCAAACTGATCCTGCGTGAGTGAAACTGGATGGAGGTGGTTGATATGAAAGTTCAGGATGTTAAACTGCATCAGAATAACTGATTCACTGACTGAGTTTTCTTCTCTGCTGCTCTGAAATAAAATAAACCTATTTTATTCAGTTTGGCTCAATGAGAACATTAACATTCGAGTGAGGTGGCACAGATCAGTGTTAAATGTTAAATTCATCATGTACCCTCACGTTGTCTGTTGTAAGAAGGAGAAAAGTCTTCAAAATAAAATAATCGTATCCGTTCCTTTGTTTACACCCAGACTGATTTGTACTGAGTCTGGAACTGACGCATGATCCCTGAACACACTGCTGCCAAACTCAATTACAGGGGTTCTGGTCTGGCGTGACTTGATTCAGGTCATCAAAACCAAGGCTGCAGTAAAACAGCTGATATTTTTAGATGAAGAATGGTGTGGCCAGAAAGTAAATCTCAAACTTTACAGCCACTGCAGTTCTGTGCTTTTTAACGAGTTCTCTTCCTAATTAATCTTTTACTGAACCAAATGTTGAAAAATAGAGAAAAATCATAAGTCACATTAACATTAAGACACTCAACCATGATAGATGATGACCTTATGATAAAGTAAGACGAACATTAGTCTCATTTGAAGCTGGGACTGGAGAAGAAGTCTAATTCTCACTGGGAGAACAACTGAAATGATCGATTGATTGATAAAATATCTGCCAATTAAAGCAACTATACAGCGTCAAAATAACCTTGATGGATCACTGACTTAGAATATGGAGAATGTTTCCTCTCTCATTCACCATCATCACCCTGAAGGTCTGTACTGGCTCTTTGTGAGTTTTGAGTGGGCATGATCTCCTGTGAGAAGTGCGGAGCTGACGGATTGTCGCAACTCCAAATGTTAGAATCAGGCTAAGAAGAATTAGAAGTTAAAAACATATTTATTTATCTCCAATATTCCGCGAGAAAACTTTTAAAGCATCAAGATTTCTAAACAGAGTTTTGTGTTTTTGTTGCAGCTGCGGCTTCTGGTTCAGGAAGCCGGGGATCATGGGTAAAATCCCATGATATCCGCTCAGTTGTGTGTCAGTTCAGTGAGGGGACTACGCAGTCAGAGCTGACTGTTTCTAAATGAAAACCACCTCATCGCTCAGACATGAACCCCAACAGAATGAATCACCACTGGGCATCAGAGGGCGCTGTTGCTCAGTAAAAGTTACATAATGTTGTTTTAACTTTCTAATAATCGACTTATTGATCGACTGTTTTTAACAGCTGCTTCATATCTACAGCAGCGATGCTCAGGCTGCATCTGGACAAATCCGTTTTAAGCAATACACAAAGCTCATAATCTGTGTGATGTAATTACACATGAACGTAACTGCGTCACACTGGTGCTGAAATCGCTGGTTGTGTTTATTATTACCGTTCGCTGCTAAAAGTGCAGATATCACTGAAGCTACATTTCAACAGCAATTACCATGAGAAATTCAATTAGCTTGGTTTTCTCCACTTTTTTCCCAGTTGTTATGATCGAGAGAATCCACAAACTAAACACAGCTTCACAGCGGTTAACAACAGTGAAACTGCTCATTTGAACTTTTCAAGAGAAAAAAAAACAAGCTGTCATTATCCTTGAACTTAAAGGTCTTCCAAACCGCATATCAAACCAGTGTTGATTTCTGGGCCTGTTATTACATTGTTAAGTTTTCTGTTTCTATTCATGAGTCCAATGACCGAAGCAAAACAACCAAGTGGTTGAATTTCTACCACCGAAAGCAACTCATTGATCCTCAGGTTTCTGGCTCTCCTCCACGATTCAGGAGGAACTCTGGTCAGTGGCAATAAATCGAACGAAAAACCCACAGTAGCACGGCTAAATATATTTCAGTCAATACCTCTGGCATACTGCTAAGGATTCAGAGTTTTCAATTAAAGCTCAAGAGGTCAGAACGACCTGTAGCTGCTACTCCAGCAAACAACGAGAAGAAAAATAAGACATGGAACTTAACAGTGAAGGGGACAAAGCTCACTTTTGGCGTGTCACAGGGTCTGACTCTGTAGGATGGATATAAGGCGTCAAGATCTGCTTCAAGGTTTGACTGTCGGACACCCTACAACGAAAGAGATTGTTGAGAAAAAAGCAAATGTGAGAGAACATCAAGTTCAAACAATATCATGATTGTCACTTTAATGATATTGACCTCTTGATGTTTGAAAGGGCCGTTGATACTCACCATTCGTGCTTTAACAGGAATTCTGATGAATATCTTATTCACTATTATTGTTACTTGACTCACCTCCTCTGACTGAACTCTGTGCTGCCCTGAGGAAAGATGAGCTTCAGATGCCACATGAACAGTTTCTCCCTGAATGAGACAAACACAAACTAACTTTCAGGTTCTGCTTTTTTTTAACATGTAAAAAAAAAAAACCAGTAGTGTTTGATGTGCGTTTTTCAACAGATGAGGTCACCAGTGCTCTCACAGTATCCCCAACACAAATGCCCTTGTTTAAATTCTAAGCATTAAATGGATTCAGTCTTAATCTCTCCAAGACAATACGCCTGGCTGCTTCCAAGATCTTGTCCATCTGTGTGACTCTGTGTGTGTGCAAGTGAATAAATGAGAGTTGCCATGGAGACCATGACACACACACACACACACACACACACACACACACACACACACACACACACACACACACACACACACACACACANACACACACACACACACAGGGACAGCAGCTGGTGGATATCACAGAATGATCTCTTCTTCTGGGGTAATGCTTTGGGGCAGTAACTATTAAACGTGGTTGGGTTTTCTGGGTTGCTGGGCGTGCTCTACAACCAAACATTTATTCCCCAAACAGCTGCTGCTGCTGCGCTCATATTTACTACTGTCACCATGATTCAGAAATAGCCAGCAAAATCTAATATCTCAAACAGTGTGGAAGATATAAGACAACGTGATTCCAGTTTTTTTAATCTAAATAAATTACCAATAAATTGCTGATTACAGTAACTCGATGTGATTTAAACAGTTTTGAATGTTGCAGATGACAGATGTTCTTTTAACAGATATATATAAGACAAGACCGTCCAGACGAGAACACATGAATGACAAAGATGCCAGGCCAGTAGGTGGCCATTACGTCAACATCAACGATTGTGTCATATACCACAGAAAAACACTGTGAGCATGCTCAGTGAGCTTTTTATAACTGGTTGTTGTTGTTGCTTCTGGTGCATTACTCAACGCAATAGTGGGCATGCACAAAGTAAGCTGTAATGTCATTGTTTACGAAAGGCTTTGTTGTACTTGTACACATGGATACACAGAGAGCAGAGATTTCAAAAATCTGCAAATTGGAAGACAGTTTTCGTGACTTAGAATGTGGTTTGTGTGGATAAGAGGCGCAGAAGTATCTGACTTTAAAGACAGGTATGACTTTGTAGATAAACACAGAAATGTACAATCGTTTCCCCAATGAAACAGAATATAAGTTACTGGCACGGCATCAAAAACTCGTCCAGAACATTATACCTCACATACGGAGCGCTGAACATAACTACAAGGACTTGTGTTGACAGAGACCACAGAATTTGCCACATATAGGGTGGAGCAGATTCATCAACCACTTCTCCATCAGAGAAGGAGGACTGAGGCCTTGATGGATCTGAGGAATGAAGATGAAACATACCCTCAGAAAAACGCAAAGTTTAATTGTAAAGTACATGCGAGGGACCTTGTTATTAGGGCTTTCGTACTCACCAAGAGAGATTTAGAGCAGTTGGAGGTTTCTTTTGATATGTTTAATATAAAACTTTTGTGTCCTTGGAATCAAACATTAAACAAGATTTCAAATAATTCTGGGGGGTAGAAAATACTTTCTTTTAAAGTAACACAGATACAGATTATTAGGTGCATGTAAAAATGTTGTAGTGGAGGACTGTGGATCTTCATAATAAGCAAGTAAATCAACAAAGTCATTAGGATTCATGCCCTGAGGACCATTGTTGTGCGTACTGAATGTCCTGCCAATCTCCTGGTCTCCGTTTTACTCTGGGCCAAAGTGTTGATAAAGCAGGCTGACAAATCATGATGTAAAACTACATCCAGGCTCCGATGCAGCCATTTAAAAGCTGCATTTTAATGTGAGAATAAATGCATCCCTAATTTGGCCAAAGATAAAATATGTATTTTACATTGAATGGTAAACCCATGTTCACAAATGGATGCAGGACAATAACCACAGAATTCTTTTCTAAAAGAGTTTTTCAATATTTATCACAAAATCCCCTTTTGTTTGGGCCAATTTTTGTGTTAAGGTAAAGCTACAGTGAAATAAGCAAATAATGAGCAAAACAAAGGAGAAGCATATTGTCAGAAACTCCATAATCAGCTACATGTGTATTTTGATAGTTCTGATGCTTGTTTTGTGGATCCAGGTGGCAGCAATATGTTGTTCTTTCTTGAAACAGAACCAGGATGGGTCAAAGAAGAAAGAAATATGTGCAGAACAAGCAGGAGACCCAATGAAAGGTAGTTATGAGTTATGAGAAGATGACAAGAGGCTGGGAGGGGATTCCCTACGTAATTGTAGGAGGTACCCATCACCTCTAACCCCTTAGTCACAGGAATTTATGTGTTCGCTCAGTTCTGGCATTCATCGTTGGTTCACTTGTGCACGTGCACTTCTTAGGTGCATGTGTGTGTGTTTGCAGGTACAAATAAATGAGGGTGGAGCACCAGGTGTGATGCCATTATTCTGTCATTACAACGAATGGAAACTATGTCTTTCATGGAAAACAGGCTTGCCCAAATATGCATGCAATAATTTCAGGCAAGGCCACAGTGCATACCTGGGATAAGAGCCATCATTCATTGTCAGGAAAAACGAGGAGAGAGCAGGATAGAAAAGTCCAAACAGAAGCACTGAGGGTACAGGGGGTACAATTGCTATGAAAACCAGAACCTCCTTATAACTAACAGAATGCACTTCCTGGCCCCTCAGCAGTTATTGCTCAAGGGCCATGAGCAAAGCATTAAAACTCAAAGAGAGAAAAGTGGCAAACAGTAAAAAGGCGGTTGTGTGGTACAATTCTCTCCTAAGTACAGGAAACAATTGGTCCAGAAAACATGCTCGTTTGAAAAAGATTATGCACTTGAATCACACAAAGATTATGCTGAAAGGTTGAAATTCCTGCCAAAAGAAATTTCCTGCCTTACATGTCCTGCATTTAAGGGCATTTTTCTTTCAAGAGGGATTATTCATCGAATAGCTTGTTGGGCCACATTAACTAAGCCTGACTGAATAAAATAGGATTCGTTAATGGACAGAATAGAGTGGGGAAAAATGGATGGTACAAATGATTAACTAATCTAGGGATTAAATCCTGATTCCTTCAAATCTCTAGGTTCATGATCTATTCAATGGGTGTCAATCACCAACTGTGTGTTTTGTGTTTGAATACACATGAGGAAGAATAGTCCCAGAGTCTAGATTATCTGAGGGGTGCCAGGACGATTTAATATCAGCCCTAGAAGCGAAATTGTGAGATCCGGATATAATATTCTGCCTATTTTGTCTCATTTGTATATTACTACTAAAATTAACATAGGGGATGATTGCAGCAGTCATCCCTTGTTGCTTTCCAAGTGGCTGCCTATTTTTTTAAATGACAGAACAATAGCATTGTGTTTCCCTCAATGGGTTATGCAATAAAAATGGCTAAAAATCAATACACTAGACTTCTGAATAGTGAAACGTTAAAGGCAAGTTTACAGAGAACCAGAGGGACCTGGACCAAGAAGAAACCCATTACATTTGGTGAGGATGCAGACAGAAGGGGCAGGTCTTGAACATTGTGATTTTTTGGGGGGGGGGCAATGTCTTGATGAATAATGCATGGATCTTGATGACTTCAGATATCAATGAGTGCATGAACGTCGGTGCGAGACTTTAAGTTGGGCCTTAGCGGAGGTGTGGCATACTAGTTATATTTGAACTGAGTCTTGGGACTGATTTCACAATGCAACCAAGCAACTGTGATGATCCAGAGCACACTTCTGTCTTTCACATTAAAAAAAAATTAAAAATGCAGAGGATGTCGTCATTCCTGGCAATGACCAACTTGAAGAGCTTTATATATACACAAAGTCTGGTGTTTAGGCTGAAAGTGGACAAATTGTGACATTTTGTTTAAATACATCATACATATCTTACAAAAAGAACTAAGAATATATATGTGCATATATAACAAAGTGTAAGAATCAGATTTTGTCCCCAAAAACAATCAGTGGTTGAGTATTAATAATAAAAACGTGTTTACACTTTCCACTCCATTCTGGCCATATGCCAATCTCGTTTTCCACAGTTAAGCTTCTTGTGGTCCAACAAGCTGTTTGATGAATAATCCCTTTTGGAGGAAAACTGCCCATTAACAAAGGCCATTTTAGGTAGCAGACGGCTTATTGCATGGATTTAAGTTTAAATCTGTGAAATGTTTTGAACAGGCATGTTTTCAGGTTTGTTTTTCTGTTAGCCTACTTCATTGGCAATATTTGTAAGCAAGAAAGAAAAGTCAAGCTCTTTCATTTTCATCATCACAAAACGTAATTTTCCATGTGTCCAATAAAAGTGCATGACCATGAATGCCTTCGAGGCGAAACTGTTAAAATTGTATTTAATAGATTAATTGCTTTGAGTCAACAGAGGCATACAAAACACTCAAGATTATTGGCGAGGGATTGGACAGCAGCTCTTTTGCTTTGCTTTACAACAGGTATAAAACTTTCCCTTTCAATGACATGGTCGGATGAACTAGTTTAAGCCCATTTGCTGCAGTGATCCATGTAGGAGACTAAGAAATAAAGCAGACTCTGAGCAGGATGGATGAATTTATTAACAAGAACACACTCTGTTGGTTAAGTGATTAGAGTTGCTTATGTCATCAACACTGAAGAGTAGAAAGCCTTATTGGTGGTTTGGCAGTGAGAGTAGAAATCCATCTGGCTGGATTAAAGGCTGGACAGATCCAGCACAAATGGCGCAATATATATGAAACCATGTGTCATCAGAGGCAGATGCCAGCATTGGAGTGGCAAATTGGTGTCAAATAACAGGACTTTGGGGCCTCATAACTGAGATACAACAAATAAACTAAATATCCAGAGCTGTGGTTGAATCCAAGGAAGGGAGGGGAGACAAGAATTACAGGCAGCTGTGTCCTTTACGCTCTGGCTTGAATCTTAATTTTCTTAGTCATGGCCTACTTTCGCTGAAGAGTAAAAAACACAATGGTGCCAACACATATTGGGTCAAAGTACTTGTGTGAATGTAAAAGAAAACTGAACGCAGTGATGATGGACCAGGTTTAACATTTTAGCTGTGATATTTTAAAAAGTTAAATGATAAACTTTTTTATTTATTAGATATAATAGGTTTATTAGATTTAGTCCTCTGTTGACCATGAATGACTTTAACAAATTTCAAGGTAATTCAATAGCTGCTGATATTTTGTATCCAACCCTGGGGCTGAAGAATCAGTGTGGATTAAAAGCTGAGGGAATGTCATTCAATTTGAACTACAAATTAGAAAAAAACCTAATTATTAAAATTTAGTCAACCAAACGAGACACAGGGCAAATTCATTATTTCTGTAGTTCATGCAGCACATTCACATCTCTGGTTAATTTACAGTTTGGAATGTCACTTCCAGCCAGAGAGCGGCGTGTAGCCCACAGTTATGTGGCCAATTGTGATGACAGCGTTTGCAACGCTGATGAAACTGCTGCCTGCCATTCTGATGGGAGTTCTTCCTCCGATGGCAGCCGGCGTAGACTCTGTTCTGCATCAGCAGTGGTTAATCAAGCCAATGGCGGCCAGAAGGCTGTCTGTTGGAGTCTAAAACAACGTTTGACGAAAGCTGCTGCTGCTGATTGTTTCATTTGAACGGAATTTTAGAGCACTTGAGCATGCAAAGTGATGAATAGTCATCCTTCAGCCATGAAATCTGACGTGAAATATGGCTCTGTCTGATTTAATTCACTACTGCATTCATTTATCATGTGCAATATTGCATTCCACACTCAGGTTACGGCAAACTTGTGATGAATGTTGCTACGACATTACAGCATTTTCCAAATTGTATTAATTGAGGCTTAATGGAGGGACTGAGATTATGCCCATTATCTACTGTTCCAGTATTGCAACCTTTAGCTGAGGCATGTTGCTCCAGGTCATTTCTTTTTTTTGAATGTTTTCCTTCCCTGTATTTTTGCTTTAGGTTGTAGAGAAATGCAGCGAAGGGCTTGAACCCAGACTGCTGCTGTAACCACACACTCGACCAGGTGAGTACCAGGGTGCCTCAAATGCATTTCCACTGATTATAGCTTTACTTCATCTGCAAACAGTATTATCAACGAACAGCAGTTGAGAGTTCAGTCTTATCCAGTGCCTGTGAATATCTGGAAACAAATAACTTCAACTGAGAGAACTGAGTTGATTGAGTTTGATTCCAGATATTGCGACATACTGACATACATGGCACAGATCCCCACCAGCTCGTACTACAATTTATTCGAGGTTATTTTAGACGAACGTTTAGTTATTGTGCACAGTAACAGCCTCTGTAATATATTGTCCAGGCCACTCAAGTCCTCTATGGGAAAAATATCCTGCCATGCCAGGCTGAGGCTGTAGAAAACATAGTTCCACCCTAGCACAACTTCTTCCCCATGTTCTGCCAAATGCCAGCTGTTATATACTTACCCTCCAAGGGCTGGACCGAGAGGCAACCTGTAATTTTTCGTCAAACTCTTTACTGTTCGTACCTTGTTTTTGAAATTAGTCACCGGCAAGAGGTGGAAAGAAAGTCGCAGCATGGCCGTTATTTTGCGTACAAACATTTAATCAACGAGACGCACGCTAACTAAGTCACGCTCCGTGCCCGTACGCTCACACTCAACATGCACACACACACACACACACCACCGCCAGGCATGAAAGTGTTCACGTCAGCTGTCTGCCAGTAACGATCCTTCTCTGGCATTGCGAGTGCGTAGCATGAATATGTCGCTAACCAGCTGCAGTCACACTGCTCACACATCTGCTTCTTATATTATGTACTCGTTACATTCTGAAGCACATTCTCTTTCGGTTCCTCACATTTTATTGTATACCTTTCATCCCATCCCTTGTGTCCATTTGCTGATCTGGTACACAGTTGCGGTTAGTTGAATAATCCTCTCTCACACTGAGACATGGTGAGGCTAACCAGACTAAACAAAGACATAAGACTGCGCAGCTGGAGCATAATTCCTCCTAGGATACTGTCATGGCAGAAAAAGCATAAAGACTCTTCTTGTGTCTTTTGCTGGAGCAGTTTAGCTCATTTCCCAGAGGCTCAACCTTTATGAAATATCTTCAACCTTAAGAGACATTCTGGTCTCTTCCTACAAAAACTATCTGTCACCATCTGACAAGTGTTAAGTCGGGAATGAGGGGCGTGTGTGCTTGGAGGGTGGGCAGAGTCTGCTACTATAACCTGACATAATGTTCCCTCATCCTGAGATGTGACGTGCACGTTTAAGTCACTGCCTGTACACACCAGAGACAGACGTGACAAAGTGGTGGACTCTAAGGATGGAAAAGAGGGTGGTGAAAGGGAAAGTAATGACATGAAATGAGCCTGAGGGAATAACAAAGAATTAGTTTAGTGGCAATCCTGATTGGCACCCAATGTTGTCCCCATGGCATTTTAAACTTGTAAAATTTTAATATGCAGTTCAATAACCATTTTCCTCCCCCTTCTTCTCCTTCTCTATTCTTCCACAGGGGGATTAGAGTGGCACGGCTCGGGCCTCAAAAGAAATGGGAAAATGAGTGGCAGGAGTTTGTCCAAGGAGGAAGAAAAGGTGCCAAACATGAAGAGACCACCAGTGGAATTCAGCAACATTGGGAAAAACGCCCATGTGAAAGAATTACTCACTACTTCAGAGTCTCAAGGAAGCAATGAGCCTTATCCTTTAAATTACTGCAAGACGCCAGTGTTGACTAAACTGAAATCAACTCCCATACATCATTAAAGCAACAATAGGGACGAGTTAAATAACAACAGCATCTCCATGGTTTGTTCATTTGTGACTGACATTTTAATCTAGATGATAATTTAGTGATGAAAATGTCTTCTTTCATTACTTGGTGTCTTTTTTCTCCCATTTCTGATTACTTATCATCCTGATTATCTGTGGAGATAAGACTAATCAGTTACACGTTCACCATCTAATAGATTAATCAGAAACTGGTTTTTCACATGGACTCTTGGTCTGCTGAAATGAAAGGATAGTGAGTGTTATGATGTTTAAATACGTTTTAAGGTTATTAAAATGTAATAAATGATGATCCCCATTTAAAAAATCTATCATATAATGACAAAAAGGCCAAAGGCATTATTAAAATATGCCAATTACCGATAAAATACTATGTGGGCAGCTGAGGAGGCGGAGCAGGTCGTGCTCTGACTAGGTTGAAGCCCAAATTGCTGGCAGCCTGTGAAAGGTGTGTTAGGATCACATTTACAGTTCAGCACGTAGTAAATACTCAGACACTGATGATATCTGACAAGCTGGCTACAGCTCAGCAGCTGGAGACGACCCCCTCCTGTGCCCAGCTCAGTCAGTTATAGACTGGTGAGACCTCCACTGCCTCAGGTAACTTTATTTTACACTGACATGAGTAGATGTCCGTGTTTCATCATCATGCCTGGAGATAACCTGAGGAGAGGCAGCACTGATGCTGTGAGGCTTAACAAGAGTGCCATCCTGTGGTTAAGTTAAACATCACTAATGAAGCTCGCTCTGCTGCAGACGACACAGGACTTAACCTCATCAGAAAACCATGAAATGTTGCCTTGGTGACCGAGCACATCAGCACTCTGACATTGTTTGAGTCAAACACTGACTTTGTTCTTGACGGAGAGTTACTTGGTGGAAAGTTTGGGGCCTGGAAAGAACCTGCTTTGGAGCAGTTGTGGACGAACAGACAGATCCAGGTTTTTTATCACTTTCTAGAAAAGTGTGTGTTGGATTTGTTTGACCTTGGCAGAGGTATGAACTCTACTAAACGCCATCCCAGTTATTACCTCCACCAAGGAGATTGTGTTTTTATGATAGTTAGCAGCATTGCAAAAACACTACAAGACAGACGAACCATGAAACTTGGTGGATGGATGCAGCTTTGTCAAACACGTTAATATTCAATTTGAAGTAGACATACAGTCTTTGTAATGTGCATCTGAGCTACTTACTTTGAAAGGAAGACGGTGGAGTTCTCTCTGCTCTTGGTGAAGGTGATGGGGAGGAACCTCAGAGTGATGTTCATCTTTCGGCCACAGGCTGCCAGCCTCTTTGCCTGGATGACAGAAATTAAAGACAGTGTTCATTAGCACATCTTTAATTTGGGCTGACAAACAACAAACAGTTTGAATGTGTATATTAGAGCTTTACAAAATGAATAGCCACTATTCTATAGCAAACACAGATCATTTATTAAATACATTCATGTTGTAGAAAGATGCGTTGATATGGCCTGAAAACAGCAGATTCATAAACACAACAGCCACTTGATCGTTAATTAAGATTTCACAGCAGCACCAGACAATAATGTGCTTTATTAAAGATGCTGCTGATGAGATCAGCCTTATCCAGTGACACAGGTCGTAGAACAAAGGGCCTGTTCTCATCCTTGGAACCGAGTTTTTTGGGACCACAGACTGTGTGACATTTCAGTTCAATGGAAAAGTCAGTGGGGGAGACATCTTGTCTGAGAACAAATTGATCTAAATACCACACATCTGTTCTGCATCCATTAATCCAGCTGGGCAAGTTTCATTAACAATCAAACTGAGGATGACCTGAACTTCTCTTTACCGCTCTCATCTAAATCTGAAAGGACAAGTCTTTCCTGTCTGGCACTCCTGCTGCTTCTTCATGACTTCAGATTGACGGGTAGACAGAGACAGTAAAACAGATTTATTAAAAGTCAGGGCCGTACGAAGGGCCAATAACAGATTGCTGTGCTTGGAGTGATCTGGAATAAAATCAAATCTCTCGTCCTCCTGTGCCAAGCCTTTACTTTGCTGCAAATAAGCCTCATTATTTTGATTGATTTGTGACCCAAGGAACGGTCGCTGCCTCGAAGTGGATTTACCGACTCACAGTCGCTCGCCTCCGCCAACCAGTCGAGCAGCAGTTTACATCCACGTCGGCCCATAAACTACATATAGTAAAGACTCTGAAGGAGATGAATACAAAAGTATTGAGTGTATTTTGCCATAATGAGTGTATGAATCTTTTCGTGAGTTTTGGCTAAACGTATGTTTTGATGATGTCACAATGACCTTCGCCTGTGACAATCAAGTTTGAAGAAGCTTCCTAAAGACATCCCAGAGGTGAAAAACATTTTAAACATTCAGTGACCTTGAGCTTTGACTGAAGGCCGAACACTAGAGGAAGAAGAGCAACGTAGATACCAATATTAGGTAAACTTTAGGTAAAACTTTCCGATATCGATTTATCAGTTGCTATAAATAAGACGATTAAAGATAAAAATAAAAAGAATTTCCCTCGAAGCGTCAATGAAATATCACATCACATGAACCCAGGAAAAAACACTTAGAGAAATCACCAAACAGGTTCAACTTGACCTTTTAAAACCAGAAGGTTGATTCTTGACTCCAAGTCACTCGAGGTGTTGAGATTTCACATTATGACAGAAACATGTTCCTAATGGACACAGCAGCTTTGACCTTCAACCACCAAAATCGAATCAGTTCCTCTTTGAGTTCAAGTGAATGTTTGAGCCAAAGTTGAAGGAAATTCCTCAAAGCAACCTTGAAATATCCTATTCCACACAAGGCTAGAAGGAGCTGTTCAGTGAGATCACAAAACATATTGACATTGACCTTTTAAAACCAAACGTTCATCTTGGGTCCAAGTGAAAGTTCCTGAGGGAAAATTTGAAGGGATTCCCTTGAGGTGTTCCAAAGATTTTGCGTATTCAAGGTTTCTGAGGTTCTAATCTAATCTAATCATTCCACCTCTGAGGCCAAGTGGATGTTTGTACCAAATTTGGAGAAATTCCCTCACAGCGATCCTGAGACATCGCTCTAATATGAGTGGAACGGACAGACTGGCAGAGACGCTGAATGTTACATAAAAGTGTCTGTGGTTTGGCGTAAGAGCAGCAGGAATGACATAACTACAGACACACAAACTGCAGAGGACTTTAGAAGAAATGTTAAATATCATAGTTGTGTTTCTGTCCAATTACTTTTGAAGGATTCAACATCTCATGCACACATCTTTTTCGAGTCAACAATGGCGTGAATCCCTGAGGTCGGCTTCCAAAATAATTTCCACATTCACTCACTCAGTAAAAACTTTGTGCGGGCGGAAAAATAATTTTATTTCTATCAGGAATATCTTTCACTGGCAAGATCCTGAACTCAGAAACAGACATTGGCTGCAAGTGCATCACCTCTATTGCATCAAAATAAAATCCAATACTAATACTTGTACAATCAAATAAACAAATTAAATGCAGCTAAACAATGTTTGTTTGTATCAAATGTCACGTGGTAAACTGACAAAGCCCTTAATCTACCGTGCACCGTTTAATTTGAGCATCTAGATTCTGCATGTGTACATTTCTTTTCAAGGCAGCGTCCGGTGCTTTGTACGATGACGATAACGATTTCTTTGAAGAGTGCGTTTAGAGTTGGATCAGTCTGTTCTGGCTCCAGGGTAAAACTGTTCAATTTGTCAAATCCTCAACATCATGTTTTACACTTTAAATCTCTTAAGTTTGACCCTGCATTCACTTTTTACCTTAAGCTGCTGACATTCACTCAGGAGATCAGTCTCGGCTGAAGTGAGTAGATATGAAAATTGTATAAAGTTTACATGAGAACAACAGTGACAGGAAAGCAGAGAGGACATCTGTTATTAACAAAACAATTCACTCTGCTTTTCACATTTAAATCTAATAAAACTAAGAAAAACATACCGCATGATGTCTGAATGGTACGTCTGTTTTATATTTGATTAAGTTTCTGTTCTGTTGTTCGAGGACGTACTTTAAAAGTGGTGCGAGGAGCCCGGATGAGACGGTCCCTGGTGGTACCATCAGCAAATCTCCCTGTGTCCTCCAGAAACCTGTAGTCTGCAGTAAAGGACAAACGGTAAAAATACAAAGGTAAGAGAAAAAATATATTTCTTATAGCAACACTCATGAAAATACACTGAAATTAACTGTGTATGTTCAAAATCTCCCAACTTGTAACTAAAAATCTAAATTCAACAGTGTCTGCCCAAAGGCGTTAAAATAAATACTGCTAACATTATTCTAAGTATTTTCAGTTTTTCATTATGTGAAGGAGTGAAGACGGTGCTGACCACTCAGAAGAGCCATTTCATCAAACTGTGACAGAGACACGAAGGCCGCTTTGTCTCTGACTCCGCTGCATCCAGACTTTTCCTTGTGTTTCTTCACACACAACAAGCTGGAAAATAAACAGAAACAAAATCAGAGTCAGACACCACTCCCTATTTACTATCTAGTGTTCTACTTTTATTCGAGGATCCATTAATTCTTTCTAACTTACTGTGACATCGTGAAACAGAATAATTCATGGGTATGATGATAAAAGCAGATTGAGTGGACTTATATCTATTTGGTGCAGCTTGACTGACTCTAAGTGGGCCTTGGCAGAGGAGGTATGTGTACTGAGTGACATTCTGGTTGAAATTGTAGCTGAATAATCTCCTGTCTATCAACTGTCTCAGTCCTGCATATCATACTTCACACATTTCCCCATGGTGTGACGAATAAAGGAATATCTTATCTAATCTTATGAAAATAAAAGGAGCCATTACGCTGCATGAGTACATTTACTTTTGAGACTTTAATAACATACATTTAGCTAATACCTGTATTTACGTATATTTTGAAAGCAAGACATTTACTTGTAATATAGTATTATCAGAGTTGTATTACTACTTTTGATTAGATAAAGAACCTGAATACTTCATCCAAGACTGCTCACACACATTTTTGACTGAAACTGTTTTAAATTAAATCATCATCATTAGAAAAAAAAACAATGTAACACAAGCATGGAAAGACACTTGGATGGAGACAGGTATTTGGCCGGGGTCTGACAGAGACTGTATCCAGAGACCGTGTAGAAGGAGCGAGGAGCACTCCTCACCTTTTCTGCTTATTCTACTGACACTGTCCATCGCATACGGTCAAGTACACACACAAAAGATTCCTTGAAAGACTTCATGCACCCAGCACCGTCTTTGTCTTGTCTTACGTTACATAACTTTAAATCTTACGGGGAGATTTCGGGTGAACAGCCAAGGGAGAACATTTTTAGCCGAATCAAAGCTTGGGCTTTAAACAAGAAGGATGGCAAAGTCTTTCCTTGTTTTTCTTCGGTATCAAGTTTTTTCTTTTTCTTTCCTTTCCAACAGTGTCGTCCTGCGATGCACCACACTGAGCTCTCTGATAACAGTGCAAGGGTTCATAGAACATTTAGGTTTTCATGCACATTTCAGAAAGGACAGGACTCGTGGAATTGAAGCATTAATCTTTAGTCTCCAAACTAAAGGATCAAATCATACAACTCTTTAATTTTGCCGCTTCCTCGTAGCAATATAAAATATACACATTATGTGGGTACATGTGCCACATAGACAGTGATTATTAAACAGTTTGCAGTTAAATACTTGTAGTATAACTTGTATAAACGAGAAATGTTCTCACCTGCAGGAATGTGTAAGACAGGCAGGACATCTGTACTTTGCCTCCTCAGATCGACAAACCACACAACTGTCGGAAACACAACATGTCAATGTTACAGACACACACAGAGCAGCTTTACAGTCAAACAGAGAAGAACTGCAGAAACGTAAACTGTTAGAAGCTCAGGAAATGCTTCCTCTCTTGTCTTTAGGTAGAGTTTGTTTGTTAGCATAGTTATGCAGAAACTACAGGACATATCACCGGTTAACTTGGTGGACGGATGTGGCTCAGAGAAGAACCCTTTAAATGTCGGTGCTGATCCAGGAATCAAACTATTTTCTACATTTTGATGAAGAAAGAGAGCTCTCCTTCATTTTATAAATGCCTCACAATAATAGTTTTGAGGTTTTAATTTACTTTGTTTTAATCTCTATGAATAATTGATGAATATAATCTATGTTTAAATGAATAGCCTCCTTCCTGAGGAGCTGTGGTTCCTCCACACTATGGGCCACTTGTTCTCTGTGTAATAAATGAGACTCTCATTAACGAATACAATGTCTTCTCTTAATTCTTCTTCATTTCTTACTTTAGAGCTTTTCCATTCAAGACAAGTGAAAAGTGTCAGGAGAGGACTTTTTTATTTACCTCTGTTGACATTTGATTGAACCAAACAATGTATTTGGATTATAGTCCATCATGTTAGAGGTTGAGGATTATAACACGAGTTATTTATAGCATGCTAACATTCAGTGTGAAAACTACATGTGGAACTGAGCCTGTGATGAACCAGCTGTGGAGCACATGCAGCTGTGGGTTAGCTCTGTTAGCCGTTAGCTCCTGACTCTGTCAAACCACTCACTCAGACAGAGACATCTTCCTCTTCGTCCCTCTCTGCTCTTCCTCCTCCCCGCTGTGTTCCGCTCGGGGCTCGGCCGGTGACACGGCTCCTGTGGTCGGTGAAGGTAGAGAGCACATCCCGCTGGAGCCGCAGAACCACGTTGGACTCGGAAACATCAAAACAAACCCAACACTTCCGCACCGGCTGCATGTGGAAACCACTTCCGGTTTGGGAACCGGATCGGTGGCGACTCCTAGTGTGTGAGCGGAGGAACTGCAACAAGTTGTAGTTCCAGTGATGAAGATGCAGATGTTCTCATCTTTTCAATCTTTTATAATTGTTGCAAAGATTCATTCAGACTCAATACATCAACAATTTATTCATTCATTTATTATTATTTATCCTTGTTTTTAGTTTTTTGATGATTTATTTAATTCAGGTTTATTTATATAACGCCAAATCATAATGGACATTATCTCAGGGCACTTTACATAGAAGGTCAAGACTTTGAATATTATGTTGGAACCTGACAGTTCCCACCTGACTCAATGTGGGGGGGGCGGCCATCTGCCTCGACCGGTTGGGTCGAGTGGAGAAAAATGGGGAAGAGAGAAAAGGTGGGTGGAAAAGAGGAGAGAGAGAAGAGAGCAAGATAGGGGGGGGG